TTATCGTTTATCGATTATCGAGTAAATTACCAATGGTCTCGAGATAGCGAACACTCCAAACAGCAGAAGCCATCACAGTCTGCCTAAATCAGCTGGAGCTCTGCATGCAAAAGAAGCAGGTTCAGCCACTATCGCCACGCCGTCCTGTTACCTCACCTACAAATTCCTAAATACTGTGTTAATTCGCTTAATTCATCTGATATTAAGTTTAGTGCTATATTAATCCATATTATCTCTTACTGATGCTTTTAGAATGTAATCTGTCGATACTACTGATTGAATGCAATTTAAAGCATTGATATCGCTATTAGCAATAGTTATTTAGTTATTACTGTCATATAAATGCAGAACCTGATGGTGAGTTTATCAAAAAGAACTGTAGTAAATCGATTAACAATAAATGGTAATAAAATAAATTTATACTGCGATGCTTCGGCACTAGATACTTTGACAGTAATAAAATAAGTTAAAGCAGAGAAAATATGCCCTAGTGGACTTGGAATGTTTTGGTGTAGATGTGCTCTTTGAGCCGGATGGTTTAGATGCAAAACTTGCAACACCTTACTAGACAACATCCTGAATGCATACGTCAACCACACCAAAATCATCCACCTAAGCTGCAAATTTCCTCCATTATATCTGAAATTAGAATTAATTTAAGGAAGAGAAACATCATTGAACTTATATAAGAAATGTTAGTCTTAGTGGAGCATCTCAAATAACTATGGCACAATCATTTTTATTGTTTCGGAAGATTAATAAATCTAATAAGTACTTCATTTATTGGTTGAAGGATTTCATCATGAGCTGACATCAGTTAAAGAACCACTGGAAAACCTTGAAGTACTGGACAGTTGTTTCGTCCCTGTTTGGGAAACTTCATCAGTACACACCCACCATGACTCGAGTCCAGGACCTTCTAGTTACAAGGCTCGTGGACAGTTAAGCCACTGGGACCCTAACCAATGGCCCACGAATTCTAACTTCTGCCGATTCATGATGTAGTGCAACCACTTCGCAATGTCTTCTTCAATGAGTTACTGTTTCACCTTAAACCTGCTGCCCCTAATGCACAGCTTCTCACTAGAACTTCACGTCAGTGCCTGAATAGGGCCAGTCTCTAGTGAACATAAGATTAATTTTCAAGTATTGGTTTATGTAGGGATTTAGTGTGATTGGGTGAATTCGGGTTTCAGTGGCTAAATGGTCTACGAGTTCGCCTTGTAAGCAGAAGGTCCTGGGTTCGAACTCCGGTGGGCGCGTACCGATGAAAAGTCCCAAACACGGGCGAAACATCTGTCCAGCACTCCCAGGTTTTCCAATGATTCCTTAACTGATGTCATTTCATGATGAAATCCTCCAAACAATCAAACTAAATCCCTACAGAAAACCAATACTTGAAAAAACTTCACTTGTTATTTCTTACTCTTTCTTAGGATTTACATCTTGGAATCAAGGCTTACAATCCAGTCACCTCTGTACATAAACTGTATTCTTGTTTCAATTTTCATATGCTCTGTTTACTACAAACTAAATGATTTCATATCGATTGAAATGAAAGCAAAATAAAACATCTTCGAAAAATAAAAACAATTTATGCATTCCACTTGGTTTTTAGTCGAAAGATATTGCTGGTTTCGATAAATTATCTAGTCCATTAGGAAAAAATATCCTGTTTTAGGTAGTAAAATACAACTTATAACTAATAGCACCGAGATATTTTGTACACTACTTTTTTTATTTATATCCGGAGATTTAATGCTTTACTTAGTAGAAACAAATTATTATGATTATCCTAACTAATTGCCTTCTGATACTAAAGGAAATGCATAGAAGTCAACAGGCGATTTACCAAGGTGACTTATAATGTACCTAAATGAATTATAAAGCATAAAACGCATGTCATCATAAAAATCATCTATTCAGTTATCATATACTGTCTAATATTCAGCTGAATGTGTTTATCAGTAAGGTTTCTATTTTCATGGAATTCGGTAGGATACTTGTGTCAATGAATCTAGTGAAGATTTCTCTAAGTCTTGGCCATTTGTCTCCGTACAATGTCGAAACCTTCCAGGTTGATTAAATGTATGCAATGGGTTTCTTAAACTTTATACTTTCTCCCCGGCTTTTCTTACTTACCTAGTTAACTATCTTACCATTTTGTTAGCATTGCTAGTATGAAAATATGTACATATGTGTATACCCTAATGAATAAATCGTTAAATGGTTATGTCCATAAATGTAAGCATTACTTATCACTCTGTCATCTTATTATCATTAGCAGCTGACAGTACAGATTGGCCTTTTATGCATACCTTCCAAAATACATCTATGAAGTCAAATGACATAAATACACATAAACGTATTGCTACTTTTCGAGGAAATATGATTAGTAAACAAAAAAGATTGATACGTATCATTTATCCAAAGGTAAACAAAATGTCGATATAACATCAATTTACAAACTGTATGGCATTCATCATTGTGTGTCCTGTCATTTTCCTGAAGTCATTGATACATTATCAAAAAACATGGTATACATAGATCCACATATACGACTTATATGTATAACAGTTACATTAGGTTAAACCAGTAATATGAAATACAATGACATTTTTTGCAGAGTAATTAGCATTATCCACCTGCAATTCATTTTTTACTAACATAAACTAACAAGCCTGTAAACAATCGATTTGATAATTTAGAACAACAAGTCTCATTAACAAAATTGAAAAGCATTATCAAAAAGACAGTGTTTATCTGAAAATGTAATGGACCAGCACAAAAGATTTTAAACATTCTAATTGTCAAATAAGTCTAACTAAAAATAAAAAAGATCATTTGAAATATATAAAATAATGGGGGATTTTAGAGTGAGAAAGATAACAAAAGACACTAGTCTCGGTGATATTACCAGATAAGAATTACTGAGACAGTTTAAGTGTAACAGAGAATTGGCATAAGCTGAAATACATGGGGTCACTGGATTAGAACCCAGTGGCTGAATGGTCTACGAACTTGCCTTGTAACTGGAAGGCTTTGGGTTCGAACTCGCGTTGGTGCGTACTGTTGGAGAGTTCCAAACAAGGAAGAAACAGCTGTTCAATACTCCTTGGTTTTCCAACAGTTCTGTAACTGATGTCAGATCATGACCTTACCGGTTAATAACTTGCTGATTTTAGATATATAAGAGAACGTGGAACCTTAATTTCATCAATAGCTAAGGCTTCAGCATGTTGCAATAAACACCTCGGAGGTTTTTAATAGTGAATCGTGATATCTTTTTTACAACTAATCCTGTTATTTATATCAGTAATATGCTTTGCTATGAGCAGAATAGGTAATATGTCAACTACCTTCACCAAGGCTTTGCACACTAGTTGTTTTTTAAGCAATTTAGATACATGGTACATCACCCTTAACCACAACCTTATTATCATAGTCTTATTTCACTTGTTACATTTCGTCACAAAACCAAATCATTTAGAGAGGAGCACCGGACAAGTGTTTGGTCCAAATCTGGGATTCCTCAGCAATGCACACCCACAACCTCCACCCAGAGAATGGATCCAGGAACTTCACGTTATGAGACCAAATTAGTTGACCATTCAGAGATTTGGGCCAGAATTCAGTGACGCGTGAATACCAACTCTATTAGTCGAGACTGATACCTTAGTTCATGGACGTTTTTAGGGATATGGATTAATTTTAGTCCAAATTTTGTAAATGGAGAGTTCCAGATTCTATCCATGATGGAGTCAAAGGTGTGCACTATCGAAAAGTCGCAAAGTAGGGCGAAATAGCTTTTCAGTACTCTGTGGTTTTCACTTATATCTTTAAATGACTTTTGTTAGTGACGAAATCTGGCAAACGAAATTAAATTAATCCAAACCATCACAAATCCAATGATTTTTCATAATTTTTTTAATAGGCGCCCAAATGCACACATAATCATTCATAAAAGTTTTAATTTAACGGCAATTACTGTGATGTTACTCAATAGTGTTGGTTGTAGTCAAAGTTTGTCTTTAACAAGAGGGTAGAAATATCCTCGAACATTCCACAGTATTCAAAATGTTTTCAAATAAATAGCTCATTCTTTACATTTCATCACTATATTTTATAAAGATTTTTTATTTTTCACTTTGATCACCAATTGATATCAGTTAGAGAACCAATTAAAACCACGAAGTACTTGACAGATGTTTCGTCAGCCTAGTTTCGGACTCATCGGCAGTACGCACCCACTCACTGGATTTCGAACCCAAGACCTTCCAGTTACAAGGTAAGCTCGTAGACCGTTCAGCAACTGGAAGTTGACTCAGAAGCCAACCCATGAATTCTACCTTATACCAACTAGTGATTTTAGTGTGACTGGTACCAGCCAATGTCACTGGCGAGAACGTTTCCTCACTCTCGGTAGGATGGACTCTACTGGGCACTAGTACTCCAGGAAATCCCGTCCATGGTTTGAAACCCGGTGAGCGCGTACTGCCAGTGAGTGCCGAACTACGACGAAACAGCTGTCCAGTACTCCCTGGTCTCCAAAAGTTCTCTAACTGATATTAATCCATGGTTGAATCCGAAAAACGAATCAACACCTGAAGATATTTATATCATCTTTCTGATATGAAAGAGATTAACGAACATCTGTAACAAACTACGTTTGCTATAATCTGGTCACAACAAATTATCTTCAGCTAGCCTAATGAATTATTTATAGTCCATTCATAAAATTTTATTTATCTATGAATGTACGAAGAACATTTTTCGTTTGAACAGAGGTAGATGGTGCTTAGATAACGTTGAACAGAATCACTAGGCTGTGAATCAATATAAACTGTAGGGATGTCAAGAAGAAAACCTTCTGGTGTAAGTATTTTTACATAGAAATTATGATTTATTACATGTAAGAAACAAACGCTAATTATTTCTTTGTGATTATAGAATATTATCATTTCAAGGATAAATTAATATTCTGAAGCAATCAGTATTACCTGATTATTTGGAGAATCCAAACTTCCTGTTGTCCATGATTTGGAATAAAAATCATCTGTTTGTGTTGATGTATCAAATTTATTCGGAAGCGAATTGTCACTGAAACAGAATTGAAATAACACGGAAGTAATGAACATTGATGATTAAACAAATAATCTGTACATAACAGAAATAAGTGGGAAGTGTAAACATCCAGCTAACGTTCGGTGAAATACAGAGAACGTAGTATTTTAGGTACCACACGGAAAAATGTAATGCATGTTCTCTTGCCTTCTATATATATGTGTAACAAGTAAGTGTGTGAACATAATGCCCGAAATATGTTGCGCAGAAAATGCAAAACGTTTAGAACTACGTTTTCATATTGCTTTGTCGAAATTCATAAAGAGAACCGATTAATTTAAAATATTTTTTGAAATTCTAAATCCACTTGACTAGTTATGTAAAGCATTTTGTAATTGAAGCGACAAAAGCGATCTGCTGTAGTACTTGCTGATTTTATATTATTTGCTAACATGATCGTTTTGATGTGGTTGTGTTCTCTGAGCTGGGTAGTTATTTTGCGATGCTTTCATCGCCCTACTAGGCGACATCTTCAGCGCATACTTCGATTTGACTTAAAATTTTTTACTGTTAATGACGATGCACCATTTTATTTGCTTGAGGAACTACTTTGTACCTCAAACATGCTGTCACAATACTTCAAAACACTTTTTTATTGGCGAAAAAATAAAATAAGTATATACGAAAATATAGTAAAAGTTATCTTCTTAAGTGATACAGAATCGAGAAATGTTCATTCCTTAGAACAATACACTGAATGATAAGGTGAATATTGGGCTGGATTGTAAGTTCATTATAAAACATCAGTTAACTGGAAGGTTTCCATGAAAAAACGTCAATTAAAAACACTGATAATGGTCAACAAAAACTGTGTAGCAGGTTTTACTTTAAACGACTAAACAATATTCCCAGTTTTTTGAAATATGGTTCCCAATATATTTCTTAAAAGGACTGATGCAGTGGCAGAAAAAATAACATTTTTGTCGTAGTTGACTATAATCTGCAGCTACAGTCTAGCTCATCAATCTATCAACCATGGTTCATTGTTTTTATAAATAGTTACTATACATATGCCAGTCAGATAAACAATTAAGCAAATCCCACCACTTTGAAACCCGTCCAATTCTCGACCTCTTAAGGCAAACAACTACCTACATTGAGATTATTTTGAATTATTGATGTTGTTGTTATTGTAGTTATACAGCGTTTAGATTACCTCTATCTGATTAACAAGCACTACTGGTTGATATAAGCAGTACACAGCTACTCATCTTAATCCATCAGTAGTATATAACTTTGTTGGAATATCATAAACAGAGAAAATAAGCTTACCGATTGTATTGTGTAACATCCGATTGTTTCGCTGACTGATAAGCTTGATGGTGAATGGGTGGCGATATTTGATCTGAATTTGACCGAAATACAAATCTATTGGGAAATCTGTTGGGTGATAACGGTGGCTGTTCACTGACTGAACGTGTTCGTATTCCATTATTCAAATTACTGATTTCATCTGTATTCTAAATTAAAAGAGAAAAATGAACGAAATAGTAACTACTACAAAAATAGTTATCAATTTGATTGGACACTAAGCTGTAAATAATGTTTTCAGTCTAGTAATTCGTCTACTTCTGACTGAATTTGGTCACTCAGGTTTGCAAAAACACCACCATGATAGGTACCCTGCCATCATAGCGCGCTCTGAATTGCTGCTAGATGGTCGGAGATAATCAACAAGATGTCTTGAACGTAGGTTTTGTGTAAGAGGTGTCTGCAATCTTAAAATAACTCATGTTTACTCAGAGATTTGAATGCAACTCACCCAGTGCTGCAGTCAGATACGTCACCGCTAAGTTATTCGGAATCATCTCCGACCTCTAGTAAGACTTCAGTAGAAACTCTGATTGGATACTATGTTACTACATAGTAACTAGTGTCATAAATCTAGTCCTACATTCGATGCAGGCTGAAACAATTCAGTCTGTAGGAGATACGCCTTGCTGACGAGTGCCAATAGGTACGAAACCTATGATCAAAGCCTTCTGCCGATTGCCTTTTCTGCATTACTCTAAAAACAATACTGATAAGATTAAATAACCGAATAGGTATACAAATCTCAGGTTTATAAAATGAAAAACTTCATTTAGAAAGATGAGTATCTATACAGATGTTTTGACAAAAAGTTTTTACAGATGACATTTCACTTGGTGATATTCTTTACAGTTCACAATATCAATTCCATAAATTCAATGAAAACTGAAATTTCATTCAGTATAGTTACAGTCGACTGAATATCTCAACTTTTCAATTTCTCTGAAGTTATGAAAAGTTTGCTCCCTCCACTGTAATATTTTTATCATCTCTTTATTTTTCATTTTCTGCACTTGTACTGTTTGTTGGTAAGCTTTACAATTACAACTGATTTGTCATACTGTTAAACTTTATGTTGCTTTCTTTGTCTGATATTTAGAAAGCGAAATCATTAACATTTGCATCTGCAAAGAAGCTTGACAATTTGAAATTGCACCTGCTGATAAATTAGACAATGATGATTAGGATGATAAATGTAGATAGGTAGTCACAAAAATCCGACATTTCAAAATGTCACTATGAATGCATACAAAGAAATACGATTCGATGTTTGTCTAGACTAAATTGGTTATTAGTAAGCTAATCTATAAGGTGAAAGATTACACAATATAATATTGATCACGATTTAATGGTAACCATTTATAGTGTTTTTTTTTAAGTAACTGAGCTTAGAAGCATAAGGAGTAAAATAACAGGAAATATATTACATAGGAAAATATCCAATTTTTATTGTGTCATTTATATCGCTACCTATGTACTCTAGTTCTGGTAGGAAGAGCCTGAAACTAGAATTAAACATTTTTCCACTGACTTATGTGGTTGAAGATTCCATGCTTCAGTTTTATAGATATGTTGTTATGTGCTGGGAGTGTATATATATGATGTATTTCAATATATCCAGATTGTCCTTTTTCTTCTGATAATTCTGTGGCTCACTGAAGTACAAGGTGTCAGAGGAATGACAGTAGTATTTAACAATCAGTTGATGTGCCTACTGTATTTCGGTGTCCATGAAATCCACGTATTAACCCCAATGTCATAGCATTATAGCAAATTATATCCTCAGTCTGTTGACCGTTCTGCCACCATGTTCAAATCCAAAGACCTGTGAATTCTAGCTTCTGTAAATTCGTGATATAGCGCTGCTACGTATTTACACACCTGACTTCACAGAGCTTAGAGTCCACGACTTCTCATTAGAACCGCATAAACTTCAGCCTACTGTCAGTCACCAATGAGCAGTGGTGATGCCATTGATTTTAAGGTGAATTCAGTCACTAGTGGACATTAACCAGGGAATTAATAAGAGCCCCGCAGTACTAGATAGCTGTTTCATCCTGGTTTGGAACTCCTCAGCTGTACGGACTAAGGCCTCCAAGTATCGAATCAATGGTGAAGGCGTTACATGGCAAATGACAGAAGACATGAATTCCCAGATCGTCTGATTCTAACTTAGTGGCTGAATGATAACGCACGTAACCTTGACCTCTGTTTATTTGATTAGTGTTGAATACATATGCTAGACTTGTGTCCCCTCTTTACATGAAAAGGCTGGCAACCACTACAGGCGTCCTTTTGCTACTTTCTTCAATTTATTTTATAGTACCATTATGTTAATCAATGCTTCACACTATCGTAGTCTTTTGTTTCTACATTGGTGAGGAAAACTGTTCTCAGATTTAGCCATTTTGCTAAAAGTATGTTATTAATACTTGATCTTGTTGCATAGAATACAAACGTCAGTGATTGCCATTAGTAAAAAGAGTATTGTACTGAATCGCCTTTTCCTACACATTATACTGATGTTGTATAGTGAAAACAAAACTTTGGAAACAGGTCATGTTGGCTATATTGCTTAAAGTACTTTGTTTCCAATGTACTTCATAAAAACAAATTACGTATGACCTTTATCTTGCATGAAAACTAACCATTTACGCTGTAATGATGCATTTCCCATACTGGCTATTAGATTGCCAATAGGGCAACACAATATTATTTTTTTTAAAGTATAATGCCAACTTGTGAATAAGTTTGAAAATAATCCTAGTATTTGTTTTTCATGAGCAAAAATGAAAAACGATTTTCACTCCTAACAGTATGAATACATGAGTTTTCTACGCATAAGGTGAACACGACAATTAAAAACACTTGGAAGTAAAATCAATAGAAATCAGGGCACATGGATATTGTTCACGTGGAAGTAAGGCACAAAAATGAACCATAACAAAATAAGGAGAGATTTTACTTTGATTAACAATGTTATATTATACACATAGAAAAAGAAAATATTTAGGTTAAAGCAATTTAGCAAAGCATTTATATACCATAAACAAATCATAAATAATATATGTATATATTCACATAATTTTCGTCAAAAACATGCAACATTGATACACTGTCAAGTTGTTGTTATCGTTTTTTGCGCATGTTTTATACTATGATGAAAATACAAGGGTCCTGCAATCAGATAACAAACTTCGAAAGTGTATATATTTTCCCACAATATCCTTATTGGATTTCTATTTGTAAACATTTGTATTCATTACTACTAGTTATGTTAACGTTAAAAATGACAGTTACTCTCGTTACATATTTCTATTCTGGTGATGTGTGACTACAATGACATCTCCTAAAAAAGTTGAAAGCTGAAAAGATTCTCATTTCATTTTCAAAGTATGTTTCAATGTTTTCGCTAGATTTGTATCGAAAAGACACAGATCAGATCAGGAATATTCTTTTCCTTACTTCTTGTCAAAGCTGTACGGTTAAATAATGTTCTAAAAAGTCACGTAACTGAGTATAAAGCTCAATTATTCACATGACTTGATAACGAAACATGTGTAATTACGTATTAGAAAGAAACAATGGACAGTTTGTGAAGCTAGGGCTGAGCAGTACTACTTAATCCAAAGACATTAAATGATAAAGAGTGTTCAGAAATGATTATCATTAAAAACCGTCAAATCTTGGAAACAGGAATATTGTTCACGAGAGTAAGAGTTTCGGAATATGTTAAAGTTAAAAGTTTGGAAACAAAAAAGAAATGAATGAATAAGGATCAAATGCATGTCAAATTATTAAAATGAGTCAAAAACAGTTTAAAGCCAGTGTAGTAAAAGCGATTGAGCAAACTTTTTCTGTGTACACACTCTAAAGTTTTCGGCATGAGCAGTAAGAGCTTCAGCCATCGGAAGACGTCCAGGACACCCTTTAAATGAATTAACTGTACCCCACGTATCACTCTAAAAGCTTTCTCTATTGACACAGAATGATTAATAAGGTGTCTACTCAGTATAGTTTCACTCACTACTTGAAATAATATGCTGAGCACTTAAAAAAGCAAATTCTTCAAGGTAGATTTTGTAACAAACTGAAATTGGTTACAAAAATATCGAATAAATGATTCATACTAACTTGCAGCTATTCCGCAACCCTAACCCATGACTTTTCAAGGAATCAAACCCGAAACAATAATTTCAATCCCCTGGATCCATTAATGGTGGAAACAGATGACCTGGCACTTCTACTGCGAAACATGTTATAGACAGGGCATAAAACTGATGCTAACACCATTTTTGAACCTGTCTCTAGAACATGTTTTTGGCCCTAGAGACCTTTAAGTTTAAACTAACTTTATCTGTTCAAAAACAATTCTTCATTATATTAAACCTTGAATAATAAACTTTATTTTTATACCTAGACATGTTCTATTATCTTCCCTCCTTGGTTTATTGATCTTCATTGTTATTTTCACCTTTAGCATAGCCTTTTAACTTGACCTTGGTCTATTCTTTCACTCCTTGACGCCTTATTATTTTCATATATATTGTTACTATGATAAGCATTTGTGTCATCAAATTTTTAGAAGTGTCTTGTACAAATACATTACACGATTCAGATAAATTACATCTTATTGTTTTGTCTGAATTCATAAAAGGGACTAAGTGTTTCAAATTGACGGAAGTTAAAATTCATATGCTTGTGAGTTACGACTGAGTCGGTGTATAGTAATCTGATGGTTAGACCCCTGGTAGAATTGCTAATGTGCAGTCCTCACTAGACACAAGCTGCAAAGAAACATCTATTTAGTACTCCCTAATTTCTTAGTGGTTCATAATTCGATCAGTACTAGAACCAACAAAACACAACCACCCCAGCATTTGAAAAAGCGTCTGTGACGAAATGTTGTCCCAGCTTTTAAGACCATCAATTTCTTAACTCTGTTAATAAAGGCTAGGAAATTTTATAGGCGTAACGATTCAATTAACGACAGTCTTCTCGCAAGCAATTTTAACAGAATCACTGTTAATTCTAAATTTTCACTTTACATAGTCTGCAAATAATCATATGGAAAAACCGAAAAAAGTTACTTGGTCCCAAGAGATCGGTGAATACCAAATAGCTTTAATCGTATTTAAGGCATAACGTT